ACAACCATTTTCAGTCTGTACTCACTTTAGATCTTACAAAATCCACAACAACCCATTTTGAAGTTTCATATATTCTTTGGCTATGTGAACACATAACTGAGAATACAAGTCCATTCAAAATTTTACAAAGCAAACTACCACAATTTTAAAAAAAAATTTTTAACTCCTGTTAGGCAAGGGTTTAGAACTTTCGCTATAGACAGTAATACAACAGTAGCCTGCTTCATTTTTAGAGAAAATAGTTTATAGTTCATAAAATGAACTTAGGTACCACTTACAATTTAAGGCAAGTGTTCAACTTTAAAACCTGAATTCAAAGAGGAAATATTTTTGAATTCACACCAAATAGATGTTAAAAAAGCAGTAGTTCAGGCCAGAAAATTCCTAATTATGACCATAACATCAAATGTATTAGTAAAGAGATAGTGAGCAAAAATCAAGATAGTGGTGCTCTGGTCTAGATCTAAAACATCCCCCAAAGGTCTCACATTTGAAGTTGGCCCTGGATGAAGGCGAGTCACTGGGGTCAGGCAATGACTTGGCAGGGTATATTCTCTCTCAGCTCCTCCCTTCTGCTTCCTGGCTCTTATAATATAAGCAGGTTTCCTTTCTGTGGTCTTCCACCATGTGGTTTCTCTGTTGGAGTAGGCTGAACATGGACTGAACTCTCTGAAACAATGAACTAAAATAAACTCCTCTAAATTTTAAGTGCTGAGTATTTTGTCCCAGTGACAAAAACATGATTGATACAGGTGGGAACGTAGCTCAGTGGTGGCAGAGCACTTGCCTAGTGTGTGAATGTGTCTGGGTTCAATCCACAGTACTGTGTGTGTACATACATACATATTCATATATATGGCTATATATAGAAAGACTAGGTAAGCAAGAAAGACATGGTAAGCAAAATACAGAAGCAGGTGGGTAGGGATTTTGAGGATTTTATTAAGCCCAAACGATTTTATATGCAATTTAAATATCCTACCCAAATACTGGGTTCATGCAATTGAGAGATGAGCTCCTATACTGACACCCTACCTTGGCACAGTGCTTGGCTCATCTCCAGCTCAGCCCGTTTACTACAACAGGTACTGAGAACCCACTAAGGAATGAATGGTCCCCCCATCAATGTGCCCACAGTTTCAACTGTGTTTAAGCAGTTTCACTTTCCCAATTGTGTTATTTGTAGGGTTTCAGGTAGGCGAAGCACACACACTGGTATTAACGAAGTCCATTACTTACTTGTGAGAATCTTAAATTATACATGCAGCTGGTACCAAGCCAGGTTTTAGTTTGGTTTCCTTTAGTCCTGTTTTTGTTTGAGATTAAGAGGGCAAAAAAATAGAAACTGAGAAACATGGCCTATCTTTAGTGTTCACAGTGAAACGGGAGCAGACAATTAAATGAAGAGGTCTGGAGATGCTGTTATATAAATGGTGTAAAGTACAAGAGGAACAAAAAAGCAGATACTTGTTTGGAAAAACTAAAGAATATGTCAGATTACAGAGCATCTAGCATGAATAGCACCATGAAGAGCAGTGTATGTCACTCAGAAATACAAAATACTCAACTGTGACCAACATATAAGAGCGAGAAGTGGGAAACAGGCTGGAAAAGTGATTTAAAATTCTGAAAAGCTTCCATATAACCTGCCTAAAGAGTTTGCTGTTAAGCAAATCAGTATTTTTTAAAGGTTTGTAAGGAAAAATTATCTGGGTTTCTCCTGCTCAATAACTGAAAAATTTTGAGATTTAAAAAATTCCCTAAACTGCAAAATCTTTAGTTACATCATTTCCTCACCCATATACTCTAAATATGCATATGCTACCGGTAATATTGTTTCTTCTGTATATTTGGTACCAAGGATATAATACATTCAGCTAGTACCAAGCCAGGTACCCAGGACATGGTCCTTTTCATATCATTATGAAGTGATTCCGATGGAGGGTGTGTGAACAATCTGACAAATATGAGATTACGGGAAAAAAAAAAAAAAAAAAAAAACTATCCTGAAGTAACATAGTTACCCCTGTATTATAATCCAAATACTGAATATACTGTAATCTAAATATTGTAATTCCTTTTCCAGTCCACCCCACAATTCAGAAAGTTCTATTTGTAATCCCACAGAAATGTCACTGCAATCCCAGTGAGTTAAATCCAGTCTACTACCTCCAATGCAACCCATGGTAAAAGTAAAGACATCAAGACATATTCAAAGTTATGGGCAGCCAAGGGGTCCTAAGCCTGTTCCACTTGAGGATGTGCAGACAAAAGGCCTCTCTCAGAATTTATCTTGTGAAGAAAGGAGTAGTTCAAGGATGAGTGACAGTTAGGATGGGAATTAAATGAGCAAGGTGAGCGAGCTTAGCCAGGCAGAGAGCAAGCACCTCTGCAACATGCAGGGAGAAACTTATGCAGAAAGACCAGACTGCACAAGCATATGAATGAAGTTAGGAGGCTGTTGCTTCAGTTTCTCATATGTAAATCTTGTGCATTGGGAAGTCATAGCCTCTTATTTTGAGGCTCCTACCCAGGTGACCCTGGAGCTATTTGGCTCTGCCACCCTGCTGCATTCAGCCATTTTATAGGGAACACAGTGCAAGGAAACAGGAAGCTGTCAGTTGACCTTAAGGATTACATATCAGTACCCTAGCTGGCCTTATTTGAATTGCTTAGGACCAAGTGAAGGGAGAAAGACACAGCATAGACAGCTCTGTGCACATCAGTGCATGAAGACAGGGTTTGGTTTCACTAATGCTGAAGCAATTGTTCTGCATTCATTCAAGGGGAGTTGTCCAGGTTGTCTCCTACACCATAAAGTAAGTTATCACAAAAATATGAAAAACCAAAGACTTCTTTCAGCTACCTAAGAAGTAGTGTGCTCACTAGTAATAAAAACAGTAAAAAGATACTAGGTTCAAATTTATCCTCTCTCCCATTGGAAAATAATCTTTGCCTGATCAGATTCACTGGGAGACTTCTAAGAGAATGCATGTGATGTACCTAAAGTACACTGCCTGACTGGCCACGAGTGGGTAACCAAAAAATGCTTATTCAATTCTCTACTTTCTCACTGTTCGAACTCAGACATGTTTATTTCCATCAAAATAAATTATTTTTCCCAGTTCTCCTAAGTCAAGTGCCAGAGATCTGGTAAAAGTCTTTGGCAGCTTAAAATTTGGCCTGTTCTCAAAGAATCCTGGACTAAGAATTTTAATATCTAATTTATGAGGGAGATTTTTGAGAATACTTTTTAATCTTCCCAGAGTACTTCAAACTTCTATCAGTTTGGGCCCACATTTCCGCAAAAACAGAAGGTATAAATACTTGATAGAATGTGTTGTGCAGGATATTTGTTTTAAAACACATCAAATAACATGGAATTATATAACCAGACATAACTTGATATTTTCTTCTAAGTCCACCAATAGCACAAACAACAGGAGCTCAATAACAGAAATGGAAAATTAAGTGTAAAGTTTCATGAAAAGGCACCAATGTAGGAAGATACCTTCTATCCAATCAATTAAATGATATTTAAAAGGCATTTTAAAATAGTATTGAAGTGGAAAATATAGACTAATTTTTGAGGAAAAGTATTGACAATGTAAACAGTTCATGGATTAATTTTATACTTATGATTCTCATTTTTAGCAAATACACCTTTACATGTTTATATATGTGTATATTTACCTGTCAGTAGATTAATAAATTTAGAAATTTAATAAATTTGAAACAAAGCAGACCAGGGACTTAGTTCAGCAGCTCCAGCGCTTGCCTGGTAAGCACAAGGTCATGAGTTTGATTCCTGATACAAGAAAAAAACAATTGCAACAAAGCATTGAGTTGAGATCTAAGTTTTAGCTTGGCTCAGGTTTCCAGAATGCCAATGACTTAATCATCTAGCATTTCTGCAACTCAGCATACAATATTTAATGAAGGCTATATTATCAGAACCTCTCAATACATGCACGTTTACACACATACACAAAGCTATCAGCCTCCTGATTCAATATATTCTCTATGTTAATGTGTTCTGAATGCATACAACATATACATAATGAAAAATAAAAATTTTGTAAAGGGAATAGCTTAAGCAGCAGCAGCAAAAATTATCAAATGGGTTTTCAATGCTCCCTGTACCTATGAGTAGGAAAATTAGCTAGAAGGGTTTGAGAAGGCTGAGGCATTAGGGAAAACTCTGTACACTGTATACAGGAAACATTAGAATAGCCACAATAAAATCTGAGTAGCTGAAGGGAAGTGATAGGACTTGTATGAACTGATGGCAGAGGTCACTAGGAGCAAAGTTATACAGGGCTTTTTAGGTCATTGTAAGTACATTTGGACCTTATCCCAAGAACAGTGAGGAATCACAAAGCAATGGTCTTGCATAATTCACTTCCCATTTTTGAAAACGCAGGCTGCATTACACAAAACAGAAGGAGAAACAGTTAAGAAGGAGCTTTAGCAATCTATAGTGATGGTGGAGGCATAAATTAGAGGGCAGTACAACCACAACAGTTAAGAGTAAGGGCTTCAAGGAACAGAGACGTAGAGCAAAGGTGGAGCATACTTGTGTGTGAGGCAGGCCCAGGTTCAATCCCCAGCACTGAATATAGTAATGACAGTAATAGTAGTAATAATGTATTTTAAGTATTGTCTATATTCAATTCCCTGATTTTCTACTTACCAAATGTACAATTTTGAGCAAGTTGTTCATACTCTCTATAGCTGTTTTTGTTAATACACAGGTAAGAATTTTCATAGGACTGCTGACAAATAACAAAATCATACTCAGCAGTTATCATGTTGCCTGGTAGAATAATGCAAATGTTTATTTCATTATTAATGCAATGTGAATTAGAGAAATGAGATTATAAATGTAAGACACTTAGGAGATACCAATGAACAGTTTAGATATAAAGGAAAGGGTAACTGAGCAAACTCTAATTTCTGATTTTAATAGTTGTGCTATTTGGTAGATGAAAAACACAAAGTTTGAAGAATATGTGTTCATTTTGTTTAATACATCAATTGAGAGAGCTGTGAAGGAAACAGACCAAAGACAGAGATTTAACATTCAGAGAGCAACAGCAATTTAATCCACGGGCACTGTTGAGAGTTCCTAGAAAAACAGTATACAGTATGAGAAGCAACAACAGGCATAACCTAGGGAGCACCACTATTTAACGGTTGTGCGGGGGAGAAGTCTGCAAAGGACACTGAGAGCAAGAGGCCAGAAAAGAAAAAGAAAACAAAAACTCATTTCAGAAGAAGCACTCAATAAATCCAAACTGCTAAGCAATGAAATAAGAACTGAAAATTTTCATTGGATTTAGCAACAAAGTTACTTGTTCATACAATAAGCAAAGCACTGTACAAGGCTCTTAAGACACAGATTGTAAAAATCAGACCCTTGGTTACATTATTACAGTCTTGCTTATACATTATAGGCTTCATGCTGTGAAGACAATAAATGAATAAACAAATGAAACAATTTAAAACTGTGGTAAGGACAATGAGAAATAGAGTTACATGATAGAACCCATAAGCAAAGGCCAGCGTCACATATGGAGTTTAGGAGAGCATCTTTCTGAGGACAGAAAATTTTAGCTAAAATACACAAACAGGAAAGAACTAGTACGGCCAGAAAATCAAAAGGATGAGGCCCACGTGTCTACAGTTCAAAGATGGGAGTGGAAAGGGGACAGCAAAGACGATGTTTGCAGATTGCACTCAGGGCACAGAGGAAAAGTTTAGATGGTGACCTGTTGAGTCACACAGGAAAATTAACAGTACCCCTCGGTACTTAATAGTTCGGTTTTCCTCATTAAAACTATTCTTAATCAAAAACTGGACATATTACTACTCTTTCAGCCATTAATTATTTATTACAATTGTATCAGAATAAATTTTTCTATTATGAAAGATGCTATACAATCACAAGCACATTATCCAGTGCATTAATTGTACTGTCTGTTTTTAACTTTTTCCACATTTCTTTAAACATAGTTTTCATAATATCTGATTGGTTCTGTCAATTATGTTTCTCTGAGGTATTCATTTTCAAGCAATGCATTTCAGAATTTGAATGTTATAACAAGACTGCAAAGTGCTGCTAAAATGTGTATGGGCCAATAACACATAAACACACACACACACACAAACCGGTGAAATTCTTCTTAAAATAATTATATTCCAGAGTGTCAGTTTCCTGTTTTTTCAATCTATGCATTTATATACATATATGTATGGTGTGAGGCTGATAGAGGAAAGTGGCTTCATTCTGAGAAGTTCAACTGCATGTGTATATTATTTTTTAATTTCCTTATCTGCCTGAAGAAAGATTTATAGCCCCTTTCATATTTTACAAGGATGTCAGTAATAACAAATGCTATTTAGTTAACATTCATTATCAGTCAGTAAGGGCCCAGTTTTTGATCACCTCAATACTTCTAAAAACAGGTATTATTCTTTCCATTTGACTAATGAGGAAACAGTGTACAGCAAGGCTAGGTAACTTGTCCAAGATTTCAAAACTGAAATTGAAGTTCAGTTTCACCTGTTTAAAAATGTAGCTACTAGTTACCTCAAGATTAACAGATTGGGTTCTTTAGAAATATACCTCAGATATGAGATATTAAGTCATAAAAATGAATTTTTAAATAGTAAAAGTTTTATTCAACTTTTAATAAACTGTGTACACTAAAATATTGCCTAAACTCTCCTTATATAGTCTTCCCTTTGGCATAATTTGATTTTTTTATAATATTTGAGAAGATAATAAAAAGATAACCATCCTGTAGGTAGATTCTAAGAATTACCATTCTGGGCAACATTTTTTTCCTTCTTGATCCTACATATACTTATTTAATTCGATGAACTACTAGCAATTAACTGCATAGTCTCACAAAGCATATTTGTCTCCTCAAAATTAAAAACTACAATCAGGTGTGGTGGCGCACATCTGTAATCTCAGTAGTCAGGAGGTTGAGGCAGGAGGATCATCACAAGTTTGAGACTAGTCTGAGAGATTAGTCTGGGCTACAAAATGAGTTCAAGGGCACCTGAACTGCATGGAGAGACTTTGCCTCAAAAAGAGCAAAAAAAAAAAAAAAAAAACAGAAAAAGAAAAAATACTACAAACAGCCTACCTCTCATTTGTACTGCTACTGAATAAAAAGCATAATTTGCTCTAAATAAATTCATCATACTATGAAGCGCTTCCTAAGATTTTTCAGCTAGCCAAGTCATCCACACCAAGACACTATTTGAAGTCTAGATGTATAACAAAAATAAACTGCTACCACATTATCTTTATTTCCTTGATAAAATACACACAGAACACAAAATTCACTCATGGATCATCATTATGTAACAAGTATAAATAATACTAAGAATTCAAGTACAGTCAAGTGCACATATATTTCCTATACGTTAATATGTAAACATAAACTAGTTATATACATCATGTGCCTTTGGCCCAGCTGCAAAATAAAAAACATCAAAAGAAACACTGCACTTGACTGTTCAACTGCATTCTTATTGCAAGTTTGTACCAACGTCTAGTAGTTACAGTTACAACTTTCATTTAATGTAAACACCTAAGTAGAAATTTATTCCTCACTGGCAAATATCTCCAGTTAAAACTTTGTTTTTAATAACAAAGTATTGCATTTTTATTCCTAAACACTATTAGAGAAATTATTCCTAACCAAAGTCCTTCCTATGCCAAAATAGTATTATTTATAGATAATATGCACAGAAAACAAGAATGCTTTTTTGTTGTTTTGACTTTTAGAGTGGACATAAAATATCTGAAAGCTGTCTAAATAGTGTTCGTCTTTGTATGTTCAAACGGATTTTACTTCACTGATACCACTTGCTTATAATTTTAGCATCCAGTATATATAACTTTGACATACTGAAATTGATCTGAATTTAAATGATATAAAGCATATACTTAGAAGAGCCGAAAAAATACTTGTTTTTTAAAGTACCATCAAAAAGTAAAAACTGACATTAACAAGACAACAAATATCCAGTTGAAGGCACGTGGAAAGATTTACTACTTTGTCATCGAAGATTCTCCACCTAGTTCAAGATCACAAGTAGAATCCACTGTGGGAACTGCCGATTTGACTTCAGTTCCTGAGGTTTCCTCATTTGTAGTCTCTTCTTGTTTTTCCTCTAGTTCCTCTGAGCCAGATGCTTTTTCAATCAGTTGGTGTGTCTGCTCTGTAGGTGATATTTTGTCATCTGTCTGCTCTGTACTATTATCAAGAACATCTTGGTCATCTAAAGATTCTGAAAAGACAGAGATTCAAGACTTGAGGAACTTCCAAATGTTAAAACTGCTAAAAACAAAAAAAACCACAATTAAAAGATAAACATTCACACATGTGGGTGGGCATACACACACAACAGAACGGTCTAGATATACTTAAAAATCTTTCTTTTTTTGCCACTACTGAAGCTTAAACTTCAAGCCTCATGTATACTAGGAAGGTGCTGTCTCCCTGGCTACATCTCCAACTCATTCAAATCTTTTAAAGCAAGTACTGAATCCTCTATGGATGCCATTTATGAGTTATATGAAGAAAAAAATATTTTACTAAGTCCATAACCACACTTTTCATACTTTCATACAAATTAAGCTCCTAAAGATACATTTGTAAATTGAATGTCCAAAAGTCAAAAGTCCCAACAGAATCATGTGCTGTAAGACAACAGTACAGCACACACATGTACCATATTTATGAGGTCAGACTTCCTCAAAGGACTGTATCCCAGTAGCCAGCTTGGAAGCAATATGTCAAAGCGTACTTTCATGTGCATGTATGCATGCACACATATGTGTACGTTTACGTGGTGTATTCCTATCCTTATGTATCACTATATTCAAGGACTGGGGAAGCCAGGATTTCCCAGGCCTTTTTCCAAAGTCATGATCTCCCATTATCTCTCTGCAAGACCTTGCAATTTAAACCTCTGAAGCAGAATATGCTATGTACCTAGCATGCTAGGAAAAAGAAAGGAAGGCAAGTAAGATTCTTGATCTTGACTTGGAAATTTACTCTTTTTGGGTGTTATTAAATTTAAATTCTTTAACAATAATAACTTAATAACAAGTTTATTAAGTAAACTATCTTTAATTCTCTAAAGTATAAAGAACAGGATACAGGAGGAGATGACAGAAGCACATAAGGTTTTGGCCACGATATTTTCAAGTCAGCGATAAAAATAACAGTTTTGAGGTATTTCTTTTTGTTGTTGTAATAAATACCAATTAATACCCTAAAAGAAACCTGTTTAAGTCACATTAGTTAACAAACAAAAAAAGCTGGTATTTCCTACCCTCATGGAAGATTCTACTGCAAATGTTACTGATTCAAAAAATCTGGGGGCAAGCCAATCTACTTAGTAAAAAGTTTTAGTCAAATTCCCATAAAAAAACTTTTTTGGCAAAGAAAATTACGCACTATATTCATGTTAACATGGAAGTCTTAGAAATTCATGGTTTTATTGGAGACTTCTAACAAAAACAAATTATCTATTTTTCACATACAACATGACAGAGATTTAAAAATATTTTCAAAGTATTATGTTCTGGACTCTAAGTTTACCAAATTAATTACAACTACCTTCCTCCTTTTTATAATACAATGAAAAGTCCAAATATCCAGTTGGGAACATACAACTTAATGAGATTTTACTACATGAAAATTTCATAGGGTCACAAAAAGTAGGAAGGAATATTCATAAACCATATTTGTGACAAATATCATAAAAATATTATTTGTATCTTAATGTGAATATTTGGTACTGCTGTACCACTTGGACATTTAACAAAAATCAAGGTAGAAAAGCAGTAGGTCACTTGAGTTTTATATGAATGTTCCACAGCAGAAAGGCAAAGCAAAAGGGCAAACAAAACTCCACAGATAGGTACAAAATCATTTCTGATGCAAAGGCAAGTCGAACCTGTGCAAAACTTAAGAAGTGCTAACCATTTCTAATTCTACCCTCATAGAATTTATCCAATTGGAATTTTAAGTATTTTCCATAATTCTTCAGTCATAAAGCAATACTTGATTGGCAACAATTTTATAATCTGTTCAGTACAGTTTCTGAAACATACCGATAAAGCCACACAATTAAAAAAAAAAAAGAGCTCAGACTCTAGGATACAACTCACCAATCAACACGTGTAAGTGAACATAGGAACACACAGATTATCATAATTCAGACAGGTTGCTTCAATATACACTAAAACACAAGCAGTATCAAAGTTCAAGGTTTACCATTAAATTTTGTATTCAGAAACAGATACTTAACTAGTCAAAGCCAATTTAAAAATTCTTAAGTTTATAAAAAAATAGTTAATACAAAGTAGAAACAGTATGGAAAGTTTAAAATGTATATAATATATAAATTTAATATGCTACAAAGTTTCCTGTCAATACTGTATTTTAGAGAATATACAGAAGACTAAAAAAAAAATGGCAAAATGATGAGTAGGTCTTGAATATAATCAAACAGCCATTAATAACTACTTTTCTTTACTGGGTTGATTTTTAGAAAACCAATAGTATTAACAATACAAAAAACTTAGTATATGACATACCTATAATGTAAATATCAGTTGGTCTACATGAGATATGTATTTTATGTTTAGAAGCCAATTTCATGTTTAAGAAAAAATATGATCTAAACAAACTAGGTAAAATAAATAAGGTATAAAAGATGAACAGAAAACTGCATATCAATTTCATAACTAAACCTCAGAGATTTATAATAAGACTAACAATGCCCTACTTCAAAACAACTTATTTCTATGGCAGAGAATCATTTGATTAGTCAATAAAAACAGTATATTTTTCCTATGAAGTTGTAGATGAAAATAGCTTAGTGGTACAAAAAATGTTCAGACATATCTTTCTACAAGATACTAAAAGAAAAACCAAGCTTTGTGTTCTCACTAAATAAAAAGGCCTACTTTTGCCTTTTGACCCAGTTGAAGACTAAGGGGTCTAAATCTGGCCACCTAAAATAACAGTTCTGTCAGTGTAAAAAAATTTTAATCAAGTTTGGTGTCTATTATGCAAAGTAAACACTGTAACACAATGGGATACAATGAACACAAATTAAAATGAAAACAAAATGGAACTTCTTTTCCTACTCCTTTCCCTCCCTACATTAACATTACTGACAGAAAAAGTTTTTTCTATCAAATAGCAAATCAATCAGCAACTAGTTTTTTGGGCAAAATCTCAACTCAGACAAGTCAAATTCATATAACTGAATAATAAATACCATTGCCCCCATAAACTATACACATGCAAAAAAATGTAAGAATTTTACCTTGTACCTTTAAGTGTTTTAACCCTATCTCTTAAAAAAGTAATTTTCTAAGAAAAATAAAAAAATTATCTAGCAAAACAACTTCATTTATTTTTGCCCTGCTGACATAAATATTTCACCTTTCTAGCGAGAAGTCTGTAAACCCAGGTTGAACCAGGAAAATCACAAATACCAGGACAGCTTCGCTAACTTAGCAAGACCTTGTTTCAAAATAAAATTTTACAAAGGGCTGGAGATATAGATCAGTGACACAGTAGGTGCCTAGAATGTATATGACTGTGGGTTGAATCCCTTGTACCATTTTAAAAAAAGGCCTTCCTAATACATCAATGTTCGGTTTATATGTAAGACTTACAAACTTATACAAAGAGCATCATTAAATTAAAATTCGCAATTTGTCTTCAACTTCATAGGTTTCAAACAAGGTAGTTTTTGTAAGAACTCCTGTCTTATAGAAAAAGGCAAACATATTTAACAAACAAAGGCATGAATACTATTCCAACTCAACCCAATGATTCAATATGATTCAAATTATAACCACTTTTCAGAAAATACCTAGTTTTCAACACAGAATACCACTTAATTATTTACTGCCGGTGAACAAATTAAGCATTATTTGTTTCATTATTAAGCAATGAACTAAAATCTAAGTATTAGGTGGAGTTGTTTTAAATAAAGTAGTCAGTAGCCCAGCAGAATTTTAAATTTAAAATAGACATGCAACACAGGCAAATTGGTATCTTGAGAAAGCTGAACATAATTAAATATTTTAAAAGACATAAATTTAGGGGGTCTGATAAATACACAAAACTCAACAAAATGTTCACTATCACATAGTTTAAAGAGCATCATAACAAAAACACTAAAAGTAGAATTTTCCCTCACTTAACATAACCTAGTGACAAATATACTTTGTAAATGAAACAAACATCAGAAATCAGAGTACCAAGGAAATTCTCACCATATATAATTTTACTATTTTTCAAGTTTTTTAGATATCATGAGTTTTATTATTTACAATTGTATAAAAGCTATTTTCTGCCAAAATAATTACATTAGACCTAGAAAAACAAAACAGAACAATCAAAATAAAATGTGAACTTTTAAACATGCTAACCAAAATAAATCACTTTAATAGTATACTAACAATGCAGAAAAAGATTACCACATTAATAAGAATGCTATGTATCACATAATTTAAAAAGCTTATTTTTTAAAGGCAAAACTGATAAACCACTTTAATAACATTTAGCAGAGAATCAAGTATTACTAAACTTAATTTAATCATAAAAGAAACAGGGATCTAAAAACAGTTCTTTATTTGCACACTATATCTTACACGCTGTCATATAGAAAAAAAAAAATCCATACAGCCTAATTTCTTGTTACCAAAGTTTCTAATTTCTTGTTACCTAATTTCTTGTTACCTAGTTTCTCTGTTACCAAAGTATCAGGATAACAGTTATAGGGAGAAAAAAATTATAAATTCAAATGAACAATTTATGGGACAAATTTCTTCTAGGTCTCTTTGTTGAAAACCTTTCAAGATTTCCTACGTTGTTCTAAAGAGTATGCCAGAAATTCTAAAAGTCTTGTGCCTCATTTTAAGTCAAAATCTTCTAATATCACAATCCAGGCAAAAAACTTTAAAGGCTTGTGTCACGGAGTGTGGAAAAAGTTTCTTCTATTAATTCTAGATCATTCATACAAATGGTTATCAATACTTGTTGAAAGAAAAGTACAGATGAAAGAAAGTTACCTTTTGGGTGCGTCTATAAATTCAGTAACCTAATCTTTAGCTTCTGCTGCTATCAAAAACTTATTTCAGAATACAGAGATTAAAGTAAGTGTTTTTTCTTTTTTCAGTCCTCAGTTTTCCACATCACTGAAGAAATCAGAAATCTAAGCTTCCAGTTACACTGGCTGTTGGCAAAAGGTAGAGGAATGAGATGGTATCATCTGAAATACTTCCACTTGTTTACTAAAGGAATCCAGCTTGGAAGTGATAACCATATCACAGGGTGGTGACAGGAGTCTTTGAAAAAAGTTTCCATCTTCTGGAAAGCCAAAGAAGAAACAGATGCTCACGGCCATTTGAGTGAATCCAAAGAGAAGAAAGAAAACTGTTACTACTCCAGAAATGACTTTAACCGAATGGAACTGCTGCTTCAGTTTCATCAGACCCTGCCTCAAATTTGGTCTCACCTATTAACATTACCTTATTAGGGCTGAGTTTGAGCCAGTTAGACTTCTTTCCGGAGAGTTCAGACAGAAAATGAGACATCTGGGGTATTGCTCCTCCTAGATTAGATGAGAAGGAAAGGTACAGCTGGGTGTTGTTTGCTATCTCCCCATCTTGACCTTAGCAGAAGAAATAAAGCATGGGACCTATTATAAAACTTTTTATTTTCTTGAGTGCTTTTTCTGTTCTTTTCTTTTTAACATCTTTTTTTAATCCCAACTATTGGTTTTCAAGTATTCACTTTAGCTTTCATAAGCAAGGTTACTCATGGAAAGGACTTCAATTTTTCCTCTAGGCATCTTCAGTATGAAATCCTTTAATTTTCAGTTCCAAGGGGCTGCAATGGCAAGGCAGATGGTTTGCATGTGACAGCATGCAGTTCAGAGCATGACAAGCAAAAGAGAAAAATGTGACTTTGTTTGGAGTTGATGTTGCAGACTTGAAGAAGACGAATGCATTCTTCCAGTGTCGGAAGTATATAGGCCTCAGTCATAACTATCCGTAGGCAGATTCATTTTGGTGTTTGTTAGTAAGCCAAAAGCCAAGCCTAGTTCAACACACATTTTAGGTTCACTCTTCAAAGCCTAAAAAGAATTTCAGCTCTTACACTAAATTTCTGGTATCTTAAAATTCACTGCTTTCATGTAATAGTCTCATTAAAGCCAATTTTGTAATATTTAGTGCTTCTACGAGGAAATCAAATATATGCAAATGGTAATTCCTAGAAATTAAAAGGATGAATACTACCTGCTAAATAAATTGCGAACTAAACTTCCAATATACACACTACATCAGAGAGAGCACCAAAATATCATGATCTGTGTTATAATTTTAGCAATGTTCATAACTGAGGCAATTAACAAACTGACCAAATATTAATAGTAATAAATAGCTGGTTATTAACAGACCTTCTATCTCATCCTTTCAAGTAGTTTTTTATGAAACTTCCTCAAAAGTTCCTAAAATACAATGGCAAGGTAAATTCTAAAACACAAGTTCAGACAAATTCTATTTCTGTAAGACAAGTTTGATTTTATACCAAAGACAAATCTCACAGACCTCGAAACCATTTCAATAGAATACAGTTTTACTGATGTAATCATCTAAAAAATGCGAACTTCCAGTTCCAAAGTTTTCTGCTTTCTGGTAATTTTCACCAATCTGAGTGGCAGACACATACCTGTTATATCAATATTAATCATACCTCTTCAAAATACTTTGTCCTTATAATTTTTAATAATCTGATTTGCATGGATAAATTTAAAAATAATTTCATGAAAATATTACCAGTAAAGTCTCCCAACAGATTTTTTAGAAGAGCTAACTCTTTATAACACTTTAACCTAGCTGGTGCCAAATGCTGCTCATCACAATATCATCTGTATTTTAAAATTTTTTTTTTCTTTTGGTTTTGAGGACTGAACTCACTGAGCTAAGTCCCCAGTACTTAAAATTTGTATTTTAAAACTGATACATGTTTCCAGGTGTGGTGGTATACATCTGTAATCCCAGTACTCAGGAGGCTGAAGCAAGAGGATCGCTGCAAATTCAAGGCCAGCCTGAACTACAAAGTGAGAACTTGTCTCAAAATAAATAAATAAACGAACAAATAAACATACATACATATCATACCACACAGGAGGCCAGCAGAGCAACAGCAGAACATACACATGCTGCAAAACGGTAAGTTAATCCACTGTTATCTGTAAGCATTATGCTCTTAATATTGTTAAACGGCATTCATTATAAAGAGACAAAGAACTGACATATTCATACCTTCACTGAACTGGTTCTCTGATGAAAGCATACTTTCTGATGGCAAAAGACCAACTGAACTTGAATCTTCTACTGCCTGCTTTTTCTCAAAACTAAACTCTGGAAGCCTTGGAGCCTGAGGTCTGGTTTTTCTCGCAGGATTCAAGAAAAAACAGTAGGCACATCGAAAAGCTGCAGAGAAGTTTTAAAAAACAAGCAAAATCACAAACCAAACAAAGTTCAAATACTCAAAAGATAACTCAGAAGACTACTTTTGAAAATAACCAAGAATATTTCAAAAGTAATTTATACCTTGTGAAAAATATGTTACTTTAATAATATTATGTTTGGTATTCTAACCAGAACTAATTTTAAGGCATAGTTCCTAATGATTATTAGAACTCTAATTTTCAGGCAGGAATGTCTTAAGTTAAATAGCAGGTCAATGATAACAAAATGATATTAATAATAATTCAAATACATGACTGAACTTAAATTAAATGAATGAATAGAATCACTAGATGTTCTAAAATCCAGAAACTTGTTCATTTGCTTTTAAAGAAATGCAGTATGTCCTATTTCAAAAGTATGATTTATCAGATGAGAATTTCATATTGGCAGCAAGTGAGATACATCTGAGTTTAAAAGAAAAAAAGACGTTTAAACTTCACTCAAAAACCATTATATCAGACACTTGATACGTGGGTACTGGATTCCTCATTTTTTTTTTTTTGTCTTTTTCCTTTTTATCGATACCAGGGATCGAACTCACGACTGCCTGCTTGCAAGGCAGGCGCTTATGCCGCTGAGCTAAATCCCCAGCCCCCGGATTCCTCATTTTTAAAAGCTCTTCAGGTAATTCTGATGCACAAAGTTTGAGAACAACTGACCTAGAAGATGTTCATTATAAGAAGAAGAAACTTGAGCTTCTTACTTTGCTCAGAGTATTAAATATGTTTTGCCAATGTGTACAGAGACAGTATCTAAAACAAAACAGCATTATATGGGAAATGGCACAGAATGAAATATTTAAAAGTAAAATATTTAAGTCTAACTGCCCAGCAATTCTTACCAATGTATTCAAATTCTTCTTTCAAAGCCATGCCATTATGAGAAAAACACTGTTGACATATAAGGGCATACCTATAAAAGAGAAAAAAATGAATATATTAATTACAAAAGCAGACCCAGCTCATAAAAGGGCTATTTTAGCCATCACAGATAATATGCCATTAACAGATTAAAAATTACTTAGTATATCATAAACAACACTCCTTAAAGCAAAATTTAACTATTTAAAAACAAAATTTACATGCCAAGCTAAAAAGAAAGCTAAGCAATAGTTGAATATATCGTTACTAAGTTAGCAAAAAAAATCTGACAAAAGAATGCTTAAATTCAGTATTTCCCAGTGTATATTCCTAAGGATGACAGCTCCCAAATAGCTAGTCACATCTAAGTTTGGAAAAGATAGAACTCCTATAGAGTCACATTGAATATAATTGAAACCTCTGAGAAATCTTACAGAAAAGAACACCCCCCCCCAAAAAAAAGGCTTTTTTTTTTTTTTTTTTTTTTTTTTAAATAATCTGGACCAACAGTCACTCTCTATGTATTCTGGCATCTGTGCTTTTCTCAGTTATACTTAACCATCTTCTTCACTTTCTATTTATAAATATTCTCTATTCTCTGTGTCTATATTCAACAAATGCACGGCTTGATCAAAAGTCATTCTATTTGAACATATAATCGACTACATTAACATAAAAATCCAGTATCTTTAAAACTCATATAAACTAGTAAAGTTGTCAAACATTCATTTTACTATACAATGGTCTATGTGTGTTTGTTTTTTTGAGACAGGGCCCTGCTATGTAGTCTAGGCTGGTCTTGAACTCATAGCTATCATTCTGCCTCAGTCTCCCAAGTATCGGGATTATGAGTATGTGGTATCACATTGGCTGATTTTTCTTTTTAAGTCTATACTATGATCTACTCATATCATACCTAGCTTCTTAGAGTTATGGCAAAGGCCAAATAAGATAAGTGGAAAAGTATTTTAACAACTCTAAGTGTTAAACAAATGTAAGTTGTTCTCATCATATTAAATATGTTACCATCCTATAATGACACCTATTAAATTCTATTTCTAACAACTTACTAGGTTTTTATTATTTTTATACTCTTCAAGTTTAAAAGTTTCAATGAAATAATTCAGATTCTCTAAAATTAATCTTACAGCAGTTAAGATTATTTTTTCCAAATCAGTTTTAACTAGACTTTGTTCAAACTGAACAATTAAATATGTACTATTTTAGAGAGTTATAAATATTTTATCATGCTCTAAAAATCAGAAAGTAGGAGCCAAAAAATTAAGGAGCATCCAGTGAGTATACACACAGATATCCTGACAAAGTTTTCCATTTTCCTTCATCTACCACCCTTATAAAACAATACCTGTTCTGTGGACCATCACCAACTAAATATTCAACAATTCTATCCAGTGCACCTCGTTCTCGGGGAAGAATGGGTCTTGCTAAGGGTGGACCTGGAGGATGAAGACCTGGTAAATAAAAAATACACATCAAGTTTATATGTACAAAATATATATATAAAACAATTCAGTTACCAAGAACTACCTATACTTGTTAAGACTTTTTAAAAATTTTGGACAACAGCAAAACATTAATTTTTATAAATCTCTGTACAACATTTAAAGTTTCACTAAAAATACTGCACTACAAAAAAGTACTTACATATATGCTATGTCAAAACCATCAACATAATTTACTAGAAGATAAAAATATGCTAGGTTCTGGGCAAACTAATTTTTAAAACACCCCAACTCTAAAAGTCTTTAATAATAAAGTAGGAGACTTCCACTTTGAACTTGGAATACCAGGGATCAGACCCTACAAAAAAAAAAAAAAAAAAAAAAAAAGAAGACTAAAAAACAAGACACGCCCTACAAGTACCCCAGTTTATTGCCTGGAGGGAGAAAGGAGAGTACAGTAGTCTCCAATGGTTGAGAAGATACTGCTAGAGAGGCCAAGGTATCTCAGATTCACATAAAAGCATACCAACAAAGATGAGAAAAGGCACAGAGAATATTCATAATCTTTAGATCTTCAGGTCTCCCAGAGTGTTACGCAGACCATTGATTAGTACATATATTGAAAGAAACTACCTAAAAATAGAAAAACCATCCACAACAGATGAAAGAAAATAGTATTCATGCAAGGTCAGAAATAGTGTCTATTTTTACCAAAGAGAGTGGAAAATCTCGTAACACATGGATCACCAGGTAAAACAAAGACAAAGGTTTTATAACAGAATGAAAAAAAAGATCCAATAAGGTAAACTGTGTAATGTCTGGCATTCAATCAAAAATTAGTAGACACATGAGTAAATAGTAAAATACTATTCATAAGGATAAAAATTAAATAATATTGGCTCAGATATAGCAGAGATACTTAAATTAGTAGGCAAATATGTTGAAGCACTTATTATGTCTGTTTTCCATACATCTAAGACTCTGGAGGAAATGATTCAGTTAAGTAGTAACATGGAAAACTATCCCAAATGAACTTCTACAGATAAACATAAACAAAATATAGGATGAAAAGTTCACAGATGGTGTTGAACAATCTGGACATTACAAGAAAAAAAAAGATAACACTGGAGACCTTGAAGACATGCAACAATAGAAATCATACATAAACACTTCAAAAAGGGTTGCCAAATTTTTAAAGGAAAAAAATCAGTCAGATAAAGAGACAGACAAATATAGGGGGTGTGTGTGTGTGTGCATGTGTGTGAAGAAGAGAGAAGGAAATCATACAACAATCATACACAATTTTTTTCTAAATTCAATAGAAATTACAACACCACATATTCAAGAACATTAAACAAATCTCAAGCACAAGAAGCAGAACTTTGTATTACAAGACAATGGAACTGCTTACAAGATAAACAGAGAAAAGAAGGACAGCAATCTTTTTAACAGTGGAAAAAAAAGCAATCCAGAAGACAATGAAACAATATCTCTAAAGTTCTGAGAGGAAAAAAAAAGTATCACACTATGGGGGGGGAGGGGATCAAGTTATATCATATGCAAGTACAGATCCTCTATCATAAATGTGATCATGCATATCTAAAATGTACCAATAAAAAAGTATCCAACTAGAATTCTGAATGTAAACATTTTTTAAATGAAGGCAAAATGAAGACTTTTTTCATACATTCAAAACTGCAAGAATTCATTATCAAAAGCACTACACTACAAGAAATGTTAAAAAGAAATCCTGCAAGCTGGAACACAGTAATAGCAGACGGCTGAATCTACACAAAGGAATGAGAGGCATCTGAAATGATTACCATATGGCTATCTATGGGACACTTTTACACTTGAATTTCTTTAAAAGACAATTGAGTAAATAAAGGAAAAATAATATATTCTGGGTTTTATAATGTATGTAGAAGTAAAATATCTAATAATATTAGCACAAAGGTCAGGAAAAGGATACATAATATATTATTAACTTAAAAACTATGTGAAATGGTATCATCATTTGAAGAGGAACTGTCATGAATTAAAGATATATACTGTAAACCCCAAAATAAGCACTAAAATAACACAAAAAAACTTATAGCTAATAAGGCAGCCAATAAATAGATAGACACGATAGATACAGATATAGATATATGATCCAAGCCAGCTGTGGTGGGGCACACTTGCAATCCCAGTACTCAGTAAGCTGAGACAGGAAGATCTCCATAAATTTGAGGCCAGCCTGAGCCACACAGCAATACTGTCTCAAAAAACAACAATAATCATATAATCATAATCATAAGCCAGAGGATGGCAGAAAATAAAGCAAATACCAATTACAAAAAAACAAATGATACAATTAGGGGAAAAATCAGATGGGATATTTAAACCAAAGACATGTCATTAGAGTAAATTTATATGACCTAATTAACCTCATAATAAAGACAGAATGGATCACAAAAGCAGACATCAATATATGCTGTCTACACACACACACGTTATCAAAGACACGGAACAAACAAGTTAAAGGTAAGATGACAGAAAAAAAAAACATGAATATACTAACTAATCAAATTAAGTCTGTAGAAGTCAACAAGAAGCGCAAGCCCTCCCTGCAAATCGGAGTCATGCACAGGCTGCTGGGGGGACAGCCAGCCTTTTCCTATGAGTCAGTGCCATTCACAGACTGCAGAGGAAGAGAACAAGGCACTTCGAAGCAAGCCCTCCCTGCAAATCGGTCCCATGCACCTGCTGCTAGGAGAACCAGATGCCAGCCCCTTCCAGCACACAGGCTGGGAAACAAAAAAAGCCAAATTGCTCCCGTGGCCATAAGCCACGGGCTGATCTGGAGAAACACAGGCTGCAATGACATGTACTGCGGGGGAATACAATTTAATGCTTGTAGTGTTCAGAGTTTCACTGACTTTGCAAGTCTAAAGTCAGTGGTCTAGTCATCTTTCAGAGGATGGCAATAAGCAGTACAGCATCTATGAGGGATCGGATCTGCTTCTGTGGGTGGTGGCCACTGTTGATTCCCCATTGTCTTGTTTTGAAGTCCTGTATCATTTTCATTGTTTTGTTGGGTTGGGTTGGGTTTTGTTCTGATTTGTTTTGTTTGATTTTATTGTTACCTGAAGGTATGGACAAATATTTTAAAGATAACAAGATATATTAGGGTAGCTAGTTTAGATTTACTATTATCTTGTTTTGAAGTCTTGTTTTGTTTTTATTGGTTCTATTTTGTTTTTTATTTTAAATTTTTATTGTTAAATTTTTATGGTTTTGTTTTTATTGGTTCTATTCTGCTCTGTTTTGTTTGATTTTTACTATATCTGAAGATATCTGAAGACAGTAGGAGGCATTTTGTAACCATTGTTGATTTCTTATTGTTCTGAAGTCTGTTTCACTTACACTGGTTTGTTTTGATTGGCTTTGTTCTGTTTTGTTTTGCTTAGTTTTATTCTCTTTAAAATAAAAAAAAAATTTTAAGTCTGTTGTAGTTATATTAATGCAAGATGGGAGAGATTTTAAAACAAACAAAAAGAAAAGTAACTGCACAGTAACAGAAGAGTCAATTTATCAAGTAGAATAATAATCCCAAGCAAATATGGGGTTATCATCACAGCTTTAAAAATCATGAAATAAAAACTGATAAAAACATAAATAATAGACAAATACATAATGACAGTTGATAGTTTCAACATTCTTCTCAGTTGATAAAATAAGTGGATAGAAAATCAGCAACAATATGGAAGATCTGAACAAGATTCTACTACTAACTTAATCTAATTAATATAACACCAGTACTACCTAATACGTATAAAATATATGTTCTTTTCAAGCAAATGGAAAACATTCAAGTCATGACAAGGGACACAGAACAATTCTCAATATATTTAAGAAGATTCAAAGCCAGCCTGGGCTACAGTAAGTTCAAGGACAGTCTGAATTACATAGTGAGACCCAGTCTCAAAAGTTAAATAAATAAATAAATAAATAAATAAATAAATAAATAAATAAATAGTGTGTGTGTGTGTGTGTGTGTGTGTGTGTGTGTGTGTGTGAAACAAACCAAGGACCTGGTACATAAACATTCTACATTGAGCTATATTCCTAGCTCCCAAATTGGATTTTGAAAGCATTTCATACAACTTTTGCAACATTATTTTACTTTTGCATAAAGTGAACATGTCCTTAAAGCAAATGAAATATATAAAAGAATAGATTTCTAAGTATATTAAACCAACCCCTGCATAATAACTTAAAATGATATACCTTCACATTCATGCTGTTATGGACAACAGTAATTAACACAAGCATTGAAAGCAATCATTATAGGAACACTGGTCATTTTTATATCGTTTGGCAAATTATCAAGTACCTGCTGGTTATTAATTTTCAAACATATGGGAGCTCTGTGGTAATACATATTAAATTGATTCTCTTCCACAAATGTGGTACAATGAAAAAATGAATTATTAATCTATAATAAATCATACAATTCATTCATATTTTTACCAATGTACAACACAGCCTTTCACATAGAACTAATTAGAAACTTTAGCAAAATATGTGTTTACATACCCATGAAATTTAAGCCATTGTTCCTTCTGTAGTCTTACATGTACAATATAGTTCTTATTAGTATGTAAGTTGCTAAATTTTTGTTTCTTTAAAAGTAGATTTACAAATGTACATAAATATAAGTTCCTTAACAACCAAGATTGTAATTTATAAAAGATGAATACCCCAAATTAACTAGAAAACAACTGAAAGACAATACTTTTCAATCAGTTTAACTAATTTCATTAAAATATGGTTGTCTCATAGTAATGTCACTGTATGTCAAACAAAATCAATTTTCTAAGTTATTTTAAAAGCTGTAAGATTTGTACACATTTCATTTGTAATCAGTTTTCCCTAATTTGTTTATAAATGAATAATTCTCCAGTCTTCTAAAATTTTATGTTGCATTTTTTGAAGGAAAATGGGCCCAAAAAAAATCTAACATAAGTAACATTCAGATTTTTTAATTGATTTTATTACATTCATGATCTGATTATCTATGTCAATGACTTCTTAGCTTCAAAATTACTGTATTTTTATGTTACTAATTAGTCATGAAATACAAAAGTAATCTAAATTAGAATTAAGTTTCCTAAAATACTATTACCATTCAATCACAAAAAATTATGGAATATGGTTAACACTATATATTTCCATGCTCTATTCACACTCCAAAAGAAACCAAAAGAATACTATGTTAAATGTGCAATTTATAATGGAAATCTCCTTCAGAGATACCACACTAAAAGAGAATCCAAGAAATAAAATATAAAGGCAATGTTTATGGAAGTTTATAAAGTATTAATCATAAAATACTAAGGTTCTATGACTTAAAAAAAGAAAAACATCTGTATTAACTATTAACAAAAGTAACAGTGAGCATCACAACACACGACTATTTCTTCTGAAATACATTATTATATTTAAAAATGTATCTGCAAGAAAAAGGTATGCAGAAGGATTAAAGAACACAAATACTTGCCAAAAGTGTTCTTTTATCCCTATTATACATAAATTTAAAGCCATTCTAAAGTTGAATATAAAAAGATATGTTATACTGTTGACTACAGAATACTACAGTTTTATTGCCATTTAAACAAAGAAGCCATAACAGTTAAATGAGCTCAAGAAATAGGTTTCAGTATCACAAGGTGCCAGCTGTAAAGAGTTATGGCTAATTGAATATGGAACTCCTGCTTAATCAGATAACTGCTCTGCTATTTTCAAATGAAATGCCATTTCCATACTGTCTGAAAATAGCCTATTTTATTGGTAACCAGAGAAAACAATATAAACTGTAAATAACATTAAGTGCTCTGTTTACCCATTCCAGGCACTGAAGTAGCAGGGGATCCAAGACGTCTTTGTAACATGTTTGATGGAAGGCCTGGGGTAACAGTTCTTTCTGGTGGTCCACCGGGGGCTGAAGAGTCTTTTGGTGGTCCAGGAGATACTAGAACTTGTTGAGGAGCTTGCTGATTAGAGCTTGCTGGTGTTGGAGAAAGGTTTCTTTGAGCAGCTGTTCTCTGACGAATCTCTGAGAAAATAAAAATACTAGATTTAATACCCAATATAATAAATGACACTTACTAAAATTTGTGATACCAAAAGGTATTATACAGTCAAAATTGCTTATAATAAGGAATCCATAAAATATAACACTGACAACAGAGTATTCTGTTTCTGTTTCTAAACCTAAATTCAACTGTGTATGTATATGTACACATCATTATTCATCTACCAATATCAAAATAAATTCAATACAATAAAATAATCCACCCAATTATGTATCATACCCTTTTACATTAAAACTTCCTGTTTATGATAAAGGAAAGAAAGCTGATCAGAATTAGTGAAGACATCAAATATCATGTTTGCTTTTCTAGATTAAAAATGATAATTTTAAAGTAAATATATTCATTCTAGAATTATGAAATAATCTTAGTCATTGAAATGCTGAAAAAGTATTGTTTACTATTCAGATATTAGTCCTATTCTGTTATACTATTGCTTTTTTTAGCAAATCTTTTTTGCCAATACATTCAAAAAGGCAAACTCCTAGTTTTCTCACAAACAGATCTTTGCTATTAGTTACAGAAATTATTGTATTAAGATTTTCTGTAACACGAGTCAGCAAATGTGCCAAACCCAGACTTCTGTCTGTTTCTGTAGTTTTATTGGAAAACAGTCCTCCTCTCTTGTTTATGTATTATCTATGGCTACTTTCAGAGTTTAGTAGTGGCAAGAGAGACCATACGGCTCTCAAAGCCATTTACTCTCTGGGTTTTTACAGAAAATATTTTACAACTCCTACTCAGTAATATAAAATTCAGTTCTAACTCTTTTTCTAATCCAATCAATGTGTTACTTGAATGACAGCAGTAAGATCTCAAATAAAGAAGCCCTTACAACATTTTAATTTTACATTATCATTAAATTTTCACAAATTCTGAATTAGTGGCTGAAACTAAAGATATTTTAATTAGCATTAATTAATAGTAAAATGTAAGTAGTAACATATGTAAATGTAGTAAAATATGTAGTAAAATATGTAAATAGTAAAATTAATAGTAAAACTGCATACTTTTTGAAGCAAAACATTTAGACTTGGACTCCATTTGATAGACTTTCACAGGAATGCTGCTGCAAGTATAGCTCTAATGTCACATCTTAGCCTGCCGCAATCTCATCTACTACTTAAGGACCTGGACCCTGTAGAAGAGTTAGTTGGAATTCTGGTTGTAGCTATGTGACCTAAGATAGGTTTGAGAGATCTGTTTCTCTATCTGTAAAATTAACTTCTTAACCCATAAAATTGCTTAAGGATTATACAATGTGTGTTACTGTTCACATCTACTGAAAATTTATTTCAGATGACAGTGATTTTATACAACTGTTAGTGCGGGCTGGAATTGAACCTGGAGCCTTGCTCATGCTAGAGAATCACTGAGCTATATTCTATGCCCTTCCTATGTTTATTCAAATTATTTCACTTTTAATTACTGGGACCAACAAATTTTCTAATGCAGTCTCTAACAAGTCACAACAATAAAAAAAAAAAAATACAAGTATATTATCATTATATAAATGGGACCATATTTATATTTTGATATTTTCTAAGTCATTTATGTCGAAAATATCAGATATTACCTTAACTAATCATGTCCTGACATTTCTTACATATTAGCTGGTTATATAATTAGTTCTTAAAATGAATACTTAATAAACAGTTATACATTATGAAAGCCATTAAATATGCAAAAGGTATTGGAATCAATAAAATCATATTAAGATTTGGTAATTTAAACTGTTAATTAAAAAATAAGTCATTCAACTGTTAATTAAAAAATAAATGACATACTATATGTCAGTTTTAGACAATTTTCAGGTAATGTATATCTCAAAAATTATACCTTTCATCTACATAAATAAGTTTAACATATATTAGGCTATACTGAAAACAGCTATTAGTTTTGCTGAAGATTTAAGACTGCCGATGTGTGCACCACTGTTGCCCCCAATTGACGTGTTTTGAAATTTTTAGTTTTTTCTTCTTCTTCTTCCGGAAATAAAATAGATTTGGGGGAAAAGTCTATAAAATTTAACTAACATGCTCTTTTAATATTACTAATATGTTATTAAAAGATGAGGTCCATACTAGCAACAAAGGACATCATGTCTGTGTAATTCTTAAAAGGCACTGTTATGGTTTGTGTTTGATTGCCCCCTCCCCAAACCTCATGCAGTCATGGAGGCGGCTGAATCTAGTGTTTGTGATTGGCTCGTTGTCTAGCACTGGGATTGGTACTCACTGGGGGCAGGTAGCCAGCATACAATATAAGGGAAGGCAGGAGACGTGCTTTTCCCTATGCCCTTTTCCTTCTTGTTGCTTGCAGCCATAAAGGTTGCCCTCAGCCATGTTACTCTGCCTTGGAACTCCCCCCATAAAAAAAACTGTAAAGCAAATAAACCTTTCCTTCCTTCATTTTGGGTGTCTGGTATTTTGTTTTAGCAATAAGAAAAAAGTAACAAAACACTTGGCTTAATAATCCTAGATTTAAATATAGGCATATTATAGAAGAGTCATGAATAGAAGCAAATATAGCTGTATTATTTTCCAAGGAAAAGCAGGCTATAGAAGATTACTATATCATGAATAGTTTTAAACAGCTAAGCAACAAGGTACCAAATCTGTATTTGGTAAAATGTTACAAAACATTCCTTAGTCTCAAATTAGAAATATCTAAGATTTATCTATTCTAAGATACTTGGCACACATTTTTTATGTTACTATAAAATATCTAGTACTCAACAAAGCAGTGGTACTGTTTATGTTCAGTATTTCCTACATTTAAATACAAAATACAACCCTCAAAAAATAGTTACAGTTACAAGCATTGTATATTGATCAAAATATAAGGAGTAACCCATAATGTCAGTTCTTGATTAGAAGATGGCTTGATGTTATAATCAATGATCAACGATTCAACAAAAATCACACTAACCAAGTATGAAGACAACTTTTAGATTCAAAATGCAGCAAACAGAATCGAAATGAGATTTTTAAAAATGACTATGTTATAGTAAATGAAGTATAATAAGTAAGTACAGTCATGAAAAGTCAACTCTAGATTCAAACTTTCTTAATTTTGATTCCTGTTTATTTCATTGTACATGCAACCTTTCCAAGTTCATGACATTTCTCAACTCAGCTTCTTCATGAGAATACTCACCCATATGGTTGTGGTAAAGATTAAATGAGAAAATCAACACAAAGCTTAGCCAGAGCGCATGAAAAGTACTTACCAAGCAACAGCTATTAGTATTAACAGTACAAACTTAAAAGCTCCGGAAATTACAGTGAATCAATAGCCAAGCAAGCTAGAATTTCTAAAGCAATTATTTAAATACATACCTAGATAACTTATATGTACAGTAAATGTTTTCTAAGCATTTATAATTTATAATATATAAATTTATAACTTACATAAAATGTATATATAAATTTATAATATACATAAAAATTTAAGCATATAACTCTATTTTGCTATGTAACAATTACTGAGATGAATGTTTTCTATAATGCAAATAATTATCCCTTTTTAAAATCAACCTAAGCATCTACAATGTTCACATCAACCTTAACTCCTAGCTCAGTATTAATGGAAGTAATCTTAACATTTCAAAAGGACTGCAAGACAATGAATCACTCACAAATTCTCATCTAAAACAGTACCATATTTTAGAACATGTACCACAGACACTTCCCTTTTAGTGAGTTTCAAAATTTTGGCAAGCATCTAGATGACATCTTGACTCCTCCTCTAACCTCCCACTTTCCAAATCTAATTGCCATCAAGTCCTGTCAATCTGCTCCTGATTATCTTTTAAGTCTCTTCTTTTCTCTTTAACCACACTGCTGTAACTTTACCTATTAAATGCCTTTATCTCTTATCTATATTAGGTAATATTCTAATTGATTTTCATGTTTCAATTTTGCTCTATCTTCATCCATTCTCCATGTTACCAAGAAAAATGTTCTTAATCTAAAATTCAAAGCTTCCTCAGGTGTGGTGGCCCAAGCCTATAATCCCAACACTTAGGAGGCTAAAGCAAGAGGATCACCAAACTACCCTGGTTATACAGTGAATCAAGGCCAGCCTGAACTACATAATGAGACCTTGTCTCAAAAATAAATAAATTGAAATTAAATTAAAATTCAAAACCTCTAGTAACTTTTCATATATCATATAACAAAGTTTCACTTTATAATATTGCAGTACAAAGTTTTGTAATTTGATTCCTCTTTCACATTGTTCGACTCTCCCTCTTTCAGGGATAAGAAACCCACCTCTTTTTTCCAGTGAGAAGGCACTATTTGTACTACCTAAAAGGCACTATTTGTACTACCTACTATTAAAGGCAGTCAGACAGGGCTAGGCCCTTGAAAAAGGCGGCACAGAGGACCAGATGTCTGATGACCTTGGAGAAGACACACATCTCTGGCAGTGGGCCCTATCTCGAGACAAAAGACAAAACAAATGCAACCATACCCTTAAGTATAATCCTTAGGGATTAAGTCTGGATCACCTTGAGAAATTAGAGGAGTCACCATTCCAATCCTTAGGGAGGAATCACTGCTCTCTAAGAATAGCCACTTTCTATGTGACTCGCTTCCCTATATGCTCCCAATTTAATCAATTTTACCTGAGCTATTAATCTTATTGGCTAAACATAGCTCTGTCCCACCTCATGCCCATCTACCTCAAGAGTTCCCAGTTTTCTCCAACTTTAGACCACCTTACCTCATGGTTTTACTCTATAAAAATCCCTAGAAAAGACAGAATCTTTGGCAACCCACCCGGGATCCCTTCTGTCCCTCTCTCAGACAGATGCTTTCTTTCTCTCAATAAATATTTTTACCTTTATCCTCCGTTGTTCCTAAAATTCATTCTTTGATTTTAGAGAACACGAACTCATTCCAGACAAATAGGTCGGGAGTTTCATTCCCCTCTATCAGCACATCTTCCTTACCTA